AGGGTTTTAATTCATACACTTGATTAGTCTCTCCAAAGCTTTTTTTTTTTTTTAAATCTAGTTTTACTCTAGCTCATGCTGGTCTCAAATTTGTGGTCCCCCTGAGTTGGCTTGGCCTTCTGAGATGACTTCGCTTTCATATCTTAATAGGTTTTCATGATGCTTCATGACATTATTATACAAATAACCAGAGATGGGCGCTATGTAGGGCATACGCAGTTGTAGACGCACACTGTTGCAAGCACACAGACACCTGAATAGAGGCAGTACTGTTGCACTGGAGAGTAGCGAGCCTTGAGGAGCCAGGACACTGCGGGCGCTACTCATGTAATCTTGTGGGTCACTTAGGCCAGGCTTCTGAACCACTGCTTAGCACCTTCCCCGCCCCAGCTGCTGCCACAGATGCCCCTTCTAGACAGTCTTCATTCTTGACTCCTGTTCTTGCCATTTCTTTTTTTTTTTTTAACTGATTTACTGTTTAAACTGATAGTCACTTTTAAGTAAGATACCACACTGCCTTCATTAAATTAGGAACACTGTAGGGCAGATTCTGAAGCCGGCTTCTTGGCAGTGTTACCTGATATACTTTTATTTTTTAAGTCATAATTTTCAGAAGGTCTGCCACTCTTAACAAAAGATCGATTTATGTGTATGTGTGTGTGCCTGTGTGAGTTTGTATGATCAGGAGCCCATGGAAGCTAAAAGGGCCGTGGGTCCCCTGAAACTGGAGGTACAGGTGATTATGAGTCATTAAGGGTGCTAGGAACTGAACCTGTGCTGAGCCGCATCTCCAGCCCAGGGGTCGGTAAATTTTTATATGATTTCCAGAGAAGTTCATAATCTAAAAAGTTCAACTGAAGCACATAGTGAAACGTTACAAAGTCCTTACGGCCCTGACCACTGCGTGCAGCAGACACACCTTAGGCAGTCCTCCATTTCTTCTGTGAATAAAGACTTAGGAAACTGAGCAGAATCAGACCTAGTTTTCCACGTTGTCTTCTACTTCAGTGCAAGCCTACATGTAACCAGAACGTCCCCAGTCCTGCTTTCCCTCCCAGTGAATGGACAACTAAGCTGCAAGTTCAGGCCCTCGTCTTTGCCATCCCAGGGCGGCAGAAGGCAAGGGGGGTCGTGCTGAGTATGTTTTTTTATATTAACAATTAAGCAGAATACTATTTTTGGCATGTGTAATAAGGGTACAAGTGTGATTATATTCATAATAGATACATCACCACCATCTCTCTCCAGTCTAAAATGGAGGCCCAAGAATACGGACAGAGTAGTTACAGATTCTATCCTACTTGTCATTTCTGTTTCTTTCTCTCTACATAGCTCTGGCTGTCCTGGAACTCACTCTGTAGACCAGGCTGGGTTCAGAGATCCACCTGCCTCTGTCTTCCAAGTGTTGAGATTGAAGGTGTGCACCACCATGCCTGGCCCTCTACTTGCCAGTCTTATAAGCCATCCTGGTTGCAGTATGCCCCTAATTAAAAATTAAAAATCCCAGAGGATTACCAGCTACACAGCTATGTCCTGATGTAAAATAACATTCTAGCCAGTCATAGTGATGTACACCTTTAATCCCAGCACTCAGGAGGCAGAGGCCAGCTTGGTCTACTACAGGAGTAGTACCAGGACAACCACAGCTACATAGAGAAACCCTGTCTCAAAATAAATAATATTAAAAGCCAACATTCTATCTCAGGAATTCTGCTCTAACTTCTGTACATTATGAGAGGCAGATATAGATCATACACTACAATGTTGGATTATGAGAATCAAATATAGACTGTACCCTAAGATGTATTAGTGTACATTATACTGCTTATGCTATGAGAAGATGAAGGACAGCAGACCTCATGAATAAGAAAGATGCTGCTTGAGACTTGGAACTGCACATAACTCGCAGTCTCTTATGTCAGCTCTCCTCTTCACACTGACTAGACTATTTCTTGGCTACAACTTGTGGGAGCTGGTTCTCTTTCCACCATGTGTTCTAGGAATCAAATTGTAGGCTTTGCTGAAAGTGCCCTTATCCCTATGAGACTTAATTTATGACCCTATTTTTTATTGTGTGTGCAACACATCCGTGCAATGCCCACAGAGGCCAGAAGAGGGCACTGGATCCTCTGGGACTGCTGAAACTGAGCTTGGGCCCTCTGGAAGAGTGGCCAGGCGCTCTTAAGCACTGAGTTTTCTCTCTAGCCCTATTTTTTTTCAAAGCAGCAAAATCCATTCTGAAATTGTATCCAAACCCTAAACTAGAATATAAAACCATGAGATCTGAAGCTGTGTAATTCAGTGGTGAAGTGCTTGCCTACCAGGAGACCCTGGCTTCTACCCCAGTGTAGACTTCCTGAGTAGGTACCTCTATTTTCTGATAAGAAATTGTTTGGCTAAGGACAAACAGCATTCTTTTTTTTTTTTCCTGAGACAGGATTTCTAAGTAGCTTTGGAGCCTGTCCTGAAACTAGCTCTTGTAGACCAGGCTGGCCCCAAACTCACAGAGATCCACCTGTCTCTGCCTCCCAAGTGCTGGGATTAAAGGCGTGTGCCACCATCGCCTGGCGAATAAAGAGCATTCTAGGAAGCAGGGACACTGCAGGAAATCTCAAGTCTGCCATACCCAAACCCTCCCATCTCTAAAAGCTGCTGTTTCTGACTATACTGCATGACATACAGTAGATGCTGGTGACAATATGTAATTTTTCTATACATGAAGAATTCTTTACATAGGAGGGAAATGAGGGTCATTAGGGTTTCAGTGACTTACCTAACTTCTCAGAGCTAACTGCTAAGTAGCAGGAGCTAAGAATTCATAAACTGCTTCCACACAGACCTGTCTCATCTCCTGTAAAGTACCCTTCAAGTGTACTGCTTTAGGATCTCCATGGACTCTGGTCTATTAGATTTAACTGTTAAAAGCTATGGCAAACAAACACTAAAATGATTGCGAAGTTTTGTAATCCTCTAGTGGGGATGGCTCAGCAGTTAAGAGCACTTGTTGCTCTTGCAGAGGACCTGGGTTCCATTCCCAGCACCCACATGGCAGTTCACATCCAACTGTAACTCCAGTTCTAGGGAAACTGGTACCCTCTTCTGACCTTTGAAGGCACCAAGGACACATGTGCCATATACATACATACAGATAAAACATTCATAAAATAAAATCCGATTTAATTTTTTAAGATTAAATAAAAGTCCTAAGGGTTTAACACCTCTTGGTGTTATAACAGTTGCCTAGCCTGGAGGTCTCCAAAGAAGTGAAAACAGGAGCCCCTTATACACTGCCCTTCGTGGACTTGAAATTTGTTGTCTCAATCAGTAGTAGCATTCACATGGGACTCTTTTCCAATTCTGAACAGGCCAGAAGTAATATAAACATCAATGGGATTCCTCCAGGAATAAACCATGATGTGCTAAAATCTCTCTAATGCCAAAGGAGGGAGCTGAATGAAAATTTTTATAGAATATTCTGGGAACGTGCTTCACAGGCATTGAAGAATGAGTAGGTCCCTTTGCCTATAACCCTGGAAGCAGTGCTACTGCTGGGGGGGCGGGGGCTTGCAGAGCTAGCCTTAGAGTTTAATGAGCCTGTCCACCTGGGTTTGAGGAACAAGCTGGACTAGAGATGAGAGCCCTTTTGCCCATTGTGCAGTGAGCTGTCAGTGGGGGTTCATCTCTGGGCTCCCCAGAGAGGCAGAGCTGTAAGAGGAGACTTGGAGAAGGGATAACCTCTGGTAAACTGACTTGAGGGAGGAAAGTTCTCTCTCCCCAAGACCCAACCCAAGGGGAATAAACTTTTATATTTCAAGATCTTGGCTTCAAAGTCTTCCTACCTGAGTTGGGGGATGGACGGACACATGGGGCTAGGCGTAGTACCCCCATTCTGTTTCCTTGTTGGTTTTTTGTATGTTTTGAGGCAGGGTTTAGTTTAGACTGTCCTTGAACTCTTGGATTCCTAGTGCCACTGACTAACCTTCAAGTGCTGGGTTGTAAGCATACATTCCCATGCCTGACTAATCTCCAAGGACCAGGTTGTATGTAGGTATACACGCCCATGCCGACTTGATAGCTTGTTTTCCTGTCTCCATGTTCTGGGGGCAATTCGAGATTGTTAGTACTAAAGAGTAATCATTCTGAGATTACTCCATGATGTCTGTTTTTGTGGTTTAGTGTTCAGTAAGTGAGTACTGTTCCATTTCATGAACTTCAAGAGGAGAGTTGTCTGATAGCCTTCAGAAGCAAATTGAAATTGGAAAGGTAAAGGCTTTGGGAGGATAACATTTTTCCTTAGTCTCTAAAAAAAGAATTTTGCCATATGATTTGGGGTCGTTTTTATCCCAACCTTTTTTTTGTTGTTGTTGTTTTTTTGTTTTTTTTTTTTTTTTTTTTTTTTTTTTTTTTTTTTTTTTTTTTTTTTGGTTTTTCAAGACAGGGTTTCTCTGTGTAACAGTCCTAGCTGTCCTGAAACTAGCTTTTGTAGACCAGGCTGGCCTCTAACTTACAGGGATTCGCCTGCCTCTGCCTCCTGAGTGCTGGGATTAAAGGCGTACGCCACCACCACCCAGCTATCCCAACTTCTATGGACTTTGTGTTTCATATAAAGAACTATGAATTCTCAGGAAAAACAAAACCCCTGTGAATTATGGCAGGTTCTGATGACTTGACAAGATTGTGAAAAATGAGAAGTGATTGAAGCATTTTAGGAGCAACACAACATGATTCAGACAGAAAATTGGTTGGTTGGGGGCTAGAGAGATGGCTCAGCCTGCTCTTCCAAGGTTCCTAGCAACCACATAGTGGCTCACAGCCATCTGTAATGAGATCTGTAAAGAGATCTGGTGCCCTCTTCTGGCCTACAGGCATGCACGCAGGCAGAACACTGTATACATAATAAATAAATCTTAAAAAATTGTTTGGTTTCTAGCAGTTTGGTAAAAACTAAAAGATGGGCCTGAAGCGCCTCAGTGATGGAGCTGTTTTTCTTCTTCTTACAGCTGTCTCTGAAGGGCACAAGTCAGAGCACGCCATGCCTAACAAAGATACTAGCAGTCTTAACAGCTCGGCAGCAGGGCTCATCTGCCTCCCTCCAATCTCTGAGGAGCTGCAGCTTGTGTGGACTCAAGCAGCGCAAACCAGTGAGCTGGATGGAAATGAACACCTGCTACAGACCTTCAGCTACTTTCCCTATCCAAGCCTGGCAGATATTGCTCTCCTCTGCCTGCGATATGGGCTGCAGATGGAGAAGGTAAAGACCTGGTTCATGGCCCAACGCCTCCGCTGTGGCATTAGCTGGTCATCTGAAGAGATAGAAGAGACTCGAGCCCGAGTGGTGTACCACAGAGATCAGCTCCATTTCAAATCTCTTCTCTCTTTCACGCATCATGCAGTGCAGCCCCCACAGGAGACGCCTCCAGTGCCCTCTCCAGAGCAGGCTGCTCTTGGACCGTGTCCTTCGGCTCATAGTGAGCCCACCCAGATGAAAGGATTGAAGGTTGAGCCTGAGGAACCCTCTCAGGTACCACAGCTGCCACAGAGTCACCAGAAAGTGAAGGAACCTCTGATGACAGGCAGCAGAGCATTCCCCCGCCAGTCAGGTTTTTGTCAGGATCTTCAGATCAGTGGACTCTCTGAGGAGCATGCAGAAATGGGTTCTGATCAGTTGTGTGGTGGAGGGACTGCTTCCTGGAATCATTCCACAGCTGTCCATCAGCCACGTGCTGGGGATAAACCCCCATCGATCTCATTACTTGTCAGTAGTTGTAAGGAAGAACCCGCACCTAATGGGACACCTCCATCTCCCTCTTTCCAGGTATCGACTAATGGAACTACTGCCACCCCTAAACCCCTCCAGTCTTTGGGCTATATCCCACAGTCATTCCCACCTAGTGAACAGGTACCATCTCCACAAGTAGAACCACCCTGGCCCCAAAGGCTACGAAATAACTCAGTGGCAAGTAGGGTTGGCCCCACAGAATACCTTTCGCCAGATATGCAACACCAGCGAAAGACTAAGCGTAAAACCAAAGAACAGCTGGCCATCCTCAAATCCTTTTTTCTACAGTGCCAATGGGCACGACGAGAAGATTACCATAAATTAGAACAGATCACTGGTTTACCTCGCCCTGAGATCATTCAATGGTTTGGAGACACCCGATATGCCTTGAAGCATGGACAACTGAAATGGTTTCGGGACAATGCAGTACTTGGTGCCTCTACTTTTCAAGATCCAGCCATTCCCACACCATCAACTCATTCTTTGAAAGAATGGGCCAAGACACCACCTCTGCCAGCCCCACCGCCCCTACCAGACATACAACCTTTAACACCACCTCTGCCAGCCCCACCGCCCCCACCAGACATACGACCTTTAGAGAGGTACTGGGCAGCCCACCAGCAGCTGCAGGAAGCTGATATCCTTAAACTGAGCCAGGTATCAAGACTTAGCACTCAGCAAGTGCTGGATTGGTTTGGCTCTCGATCGTCTGAGCCAGCAGAGGTGGTAGTTTGTCTAGATGAAGAGGAGGAGGAAGAGGATGAAGAACTGCCAGAAGATGGTGAGGAAGAGGAGGAGGAAGATGATTATGATGATGCCATATAGGACTGAGGGAGGTTGAGGAAGAAAAGGGTCTGTTACTGGAAGATGAACCACCTTATTGACCATTTAAACCCTTTTTAAACACTCTGTCACGAACTAAAAGCTTTGTGTTCTTCAGAGTGGGCAAGGCAGGAAGTAATTTGACAGTAGACTGGGGAGGTGACCAGGATACAAACTAAGGTACTTGATTAATATAAACCCAGTTCTCCAGCTTCAATGTGGAGAGGGACAGGGATCTGGGCAAACAGTGGCTAGAAAAGGCTCTTGCTCTCCTCTTGTTCTTTTCTTTAGTGCGCTCTTCATGTCTCAACCCCACACATCTACATGGGACTTAGTGTGGAATGAAGTATTGTGATCCAACTTAGGATCCCAGCACACCCCCAAATCCCACCATCTGTCAGAAAATACAAGGCTGCTTTGTGCCCATTCCTGTCTTTCTGAGCATATACCCATGCATATTGCAGTTAGGATTTGCAATGTTCATTTTGTTATAGATATTTCCTCATACCAGTTTGATGTTTTTACTCACCTTGTCACTTACACAGAAGCAGATACTTCTTCCTTCTAATACTGGGACCAATCTGCCTTCTACCATTTATTTCTATGAAATCCCCTCTTTGCTCATTATTGTCTCAGGGTAAATCTTTACACAGTTTGTGAAAAATTTTAAGAATCAGGTTGTGAATATTAGTCTTATATTTATTGGAGGTGGGAATTAGGGGATGTGACCTTTAAAGCATGATGAGCTAGGCATGGTGCCTGTGGTTACAACATTTGGTAGGTGGAGGCAGGAAGATCAAGGAGTTCAAGGCCAGCCTTGACTACACATCAAGTTAAGGCCAACTTGGACTATGTAAGAGCCTGTCTTGAAACATAATGTCACAGTGTGACAGGGAAGGATGGTAGGGATGTTACAGGTTTGGATTTACAAATCTGACATCACTTTCTGTCCAGATTGATAGAGAGTGTTAGTTTTTTTTCCCTTTTTTGCTACTGGTTCAATTTGTATCTAACAAGAAATGTTTCCCTCTTTATAGGATCTGTCTTGGGGACAGAAGGACCATGGTCTTCTAACTCAATGATGTTCTAGAATAAATGTCAACACTAGGGATCACTGGTAACAGTGGGTTAGTCACCTGAAAATAGAGTGCAAGCCCCAAATTGCTAAAATAAAAAAGGCCAAAAATAATTTTTTTTCTCTTCTGTACTTTGCCACTCCTATGGTTTAAAGATGTCTATTCTCTCTCTCTCTCTCTCTCTCTCTCTCTCTCTCTCTCTGTGTGTGTGTGTGTGTATGCATATATATATATGTGTGTGTGTTGTGTTTCTGGTTTTTCGAGACAGATTTCCTCTGTGTATCTTTGGCTGTTTGGGAATTCAACTATACAGACCAGGCTGGCTTTGAACTCAGATTCGCCTATCTCTGCTCCTCCTGAGTGCTGGAATTAAAGGTGTATGCCACGTCTTTTTTTAATACACTTGCCTTGAACTCATGGTGAAGCTATGGCTGTCGTTGAAGTTCTGATCCTCCTGCTTCTACCTTCCAAGAGCTGAATATAAGTGCCTACATGCTCAGCTTATACACTACTAGGGATCAAATCCAGGCCTTTGTGTATGGTAGGCAGGCACTCTGCCAATGGGGCTACATCTATACCCAGTCAGAGTTGAGGGATTTAATGTAGTCAAGTCCATTAATATCTGATTTAAGGGCTGGGTGTGTGGTTTGGTAACAGATCTCTTGCCTACCATGTATGACACATATTTTCAAGCCCCGCACACTTTAAAATCGTTTCTGATTTAGTTTATTTTTATTATTTAAAGATTCAGAACACATTTCAGTAAATTAAATAAAAACAAAAAACCAGAAGACAGTAAGCATCTGTCAGCACACACATGGTTCCCCGTAGTCAGACTGGTGGGATTTACTGGTGCTTCAGTTTTAACAGTAGGCTGTAACTCCACTTGCTCATTCCACCGTTCTAGACCCTGCAATAGCAAGAGTTGCAGTAGCCATAAAAGGGTATCTTCTTTTATGATTCTTTTCTTCTTTATTAATCTACATATTTTAATAAGCTGGAAACCTATTTTACCTACTGTCTGACAAAGGAAAATCAAAACATTTCACAGCAACTAGATGTAAAACAAACAATAGGTAAAATAAATATAAATTAGGACAAGAAATAGTTGCTATTGATTAACATTGGCAACAGGAAAGGAATGTGAAATTTAGAAATGAACCAGGATAAGTATATTATCTAGCCTCTCTATCCACAAGCATGAGACCAAGAATTTCTGCTACTTTAGTTTCAAACTAGGAAATGAAAGGCAGCACATATGGGGAAGAGATAATTATCCTCCTGAAGCCCAGAATAAGACCTAAAAGCTTTCTTGTGCATTGATATAAGACAGTCACTGAGATGGCTTAGAGGGTAAAGGCACTTGCTGCCAAGCCCAGTGACTTGAGCCGGGTCCCCAGGACAGATGTGGAAAGAAATGACACAAGTTGTCCTCTGACCCCCAACAGGTACATACACAAAATTAATAAAAAAATTCAAGGGCCTGAGGGATGGCTCAGCAGCTAAGCATGCTTTGTGCTTGTCAGAAGGCCCAAGCTAGGTTTCCTAGTGGCCATTCAGAGAGCTCACAAACTCTGGCTCTAGAGATGTCACACCTTTTGGCCTCCAAGGGCACGTGTACTACAAGCACCCATATGCAAGTGATATACCCCCCTCCACACATACACACAATTTACATTTTTTAAAAATGTTTTGGAGATAAAAATATAAAGTGCAAGAGAACAAGCTGCAGAATGAAGCCAAAAAACAACAGTATACATTTTCAAACCCTATGTCCCCTAGTGGGTATGGACACTGAAGTCCATCCTTGAGTAGTATGCACACATAGATCAAACCTGGAAAAGGGATGTCTATCTGGAAATGCTCCATCCTTCTCTCCTGGCTAATCCCATCTGCCTCTGTTGGTAGAATGTCTGCAGCAGAGAACAGATTTCCATGTCATGACAAAACAGACAAGTTAGCGGTGTTTCCAACCATTAAAGTTGAGTGGAACAAAACCAACTGCCATTGCTTCCCCATGGTGTTGTCTCATTGTATGACTAACTTCCAAAATTTTGTTTTTGAGACAGGGTCTCACTATTCCTGTTTTCCTAGGACTTGTCTATGTAAACCAGGCTGCCCTTGAACTCACAGAGTGCTGCCTGCCTGTTTCCCAAGTGCAGATATTAAAGGTGTGTGCCACTATGCCCAGTCCAAACTAAGATTTGATACATTCTGCATGATAAGGGTTTTATTGCTACTTAAGAAACTCTAGAATATTTCAGTGCTTTGTGATAATAATGTCAAATGTATGAGAAACATTTAAGGGCTGGAGAGATGGCTCAGTGTTTAAGAACATTGCCTGCTCTTCCAAAGGTCCTGAGTTCAATTCACGGCAACCACATGGTGACTCACAACCATCTGTAATGAGGTCTGGTGCCCTCTACTGGCCTGCAGACATACACACAGACAGAATATTGCATACATAATAAATAATAAATGTTTTAAAAAGAAACATTTAATTGGGGTGGCTTGCTTACAGTTCAGAGGTTTAGTCCATTATCAACATGGTGGGGGAGCATGGTGGCATGCACACGAAAGTGCTGGCTACATTTTGGCTTGCAGGGAACAGGAAGTCAACTGACTGTCACATTGAAGGAAGATTGAGCAAAAGACACCTCAAAGCCCACCCACACAGTGACAATAGTTTCTTCAACAAGTCTCACCTCCTAATAGTGCTACTCCCGTTGGGAGTCATTTCCTTTCAGATAACCACATTCCACTCTCTGGCTCCCAAAGGCTTATAGCCGTATCATAATGAAAAAAAAAATGCATGCAGTCTAACTTCAAAAGTTCCCATAGCCTCTAACAGTCTCAAATTTGTTTCAAAGTCCAAAGTTTCTTTGAGATTTGTGCAATCTCTTAATTGTAATACTCTTATAAATATTGTTATGGTTTTCATCTCTTTAAGAGGCAAGCCATGCCCACTCCTGGCAGCCCCTGCCCCCCAATCTTGAACCCTCACCATTTCTCCTGGCCTGCGCGTGTCCCTTCTCCCGCTCCTTTCTCTTCTCTCTTCCCTCTCTCTCTCTTTCTGTCTCTTCTTCCCCCCCCCACACTCTCTCTTCTAAGTAATAAATATCCAATTCTATTCTGTACGATGTGTCTGCCCATGTGTCTTCCTTTTACACGCCGCTGGCACCCACTCGCCACAAGGATGGACCAGCGACCAGCCTGCCCTGCCGCTGCAAGCTGCTCTCCTGGGACCTGCTATGAGCAAAAATCATAAAATTGGTGCCGTGTGCGATTTCGATAGGCGCTCCTGCCCGTAACTCCTCCCAGGGTCAGGATCCTGAACCGGGTTGGCTTCAATCGGTGAGTCTCCCCGTTCTGCTACGGTTGCCTTCCTTTACCAGAATCCTTTACCAGGTGTTTGGACCGATCCCAGGTCAGTCCGCCTGCGCATTACCACTGCACACTTCCCGTGCAGTACATTCGACTGGGCACTCGGGGTCCCCTAGTTTATCTTTTTTTTCCATTTCTTTCCTTTTTTTCCTCCTCTAGTCGTAACCACCGCGCTAATTTGCATCCCACCTATATTTCTCCAGAAGATGTTCCAATATAGGCCTTGGGTGCCGTTGCTTCGAGGGTTTTAATGATTCTGGCTCTGGATAGCAATCGCCCATGGCAGCTCCCCAGCTTTTAAAATTCCAGCCGGCTTATCAATTCCCGGGCCCCCCCCCCCCCAGCAGCTTGTGGTATGTCATGGTGGCTCAGCAACAGGGCAGATCACGCCTTTAGGTCCCTCTCATTAAGCTTAAAATCCTTACAGCTCAAAAATTGTGACTTTTTTTCATACAACACGTGGGTGCCGCCATTTTGACTGGGGTCAGGTGACTTTATCACCATCTTGACTGAGGGCCAGGTCAAGTGACCAAGTTCCGCCATCTTTACTGAGGGGTTTTCCAGTGTTAACTTTATTCCATGGGTGACCTTACCTCCATCTTGGCTAAGAGCCAGGTCAGGTGACCAAGCTCTCCCACTTTTACTTAAGTATACCCTGCCTTGTCCCCCAGTTTTCCACTAAAATCCTCTTGTTAAGTCTGTTACATGTGTTTTGCGCAGTGGCATGCCTTTGATAGGGTCCATCAAAAGCATCCACGTTGCCCAATTCCTGTTCACTCTTTCTGTGTATAATAATTGTTCATTACATCTCATTTCAGACTACAAAATCATAAGTCTCATGTTTTAAACTGGTATGTACCTTTAAGTCTCTTAAAATATAAAATATATTAAGCTGTTCTCCACCAATGTCAATTCTGTCATTAACCTTATATTACAAGCAGTTTTTTTCTTCTTTCTGCCTTTTTACGAGTGTAAATCTTACCTGTTAAGAGCCAGTACAGTCAAGCTCAGACCCAACCTTCCAGACAGATTCTATACTGCAGCTATACCTAATAAACAGCCTTCAACTGCTCAGAGATCTGGGGAATGTGATATTTAAATATTTAATTATTAAAAAAAACTTTTCATAACAAAAAGAGACAGGTTGGCTCCGAGCAGCACTCTTATTCCCTCCAAAGAAGACAGAAGACAAATGGGCACAGAACAACGTCCATCTGCAGTTCACTTCAACTGCCAAGCACTGACCATTGGACAAAACTGCCTTTCACCTAAACTAAAGATCTCCAGACGTGGATAGAATCGCTGGAATCGACAGCCTAGCTGCTCAGGTCAAGGTAGGCCTGTCTTCCTACAGATTTCTTAGCCCACAGGGTCTTCTAGAGCCTGGCAGGCCTGGCACTAAACAGCAAAGGTAAAGTGCAACCTTCAGCGACCATGGAGGACCCAAAAAAGAGTAGCTCTGGGTGCCAACCAAGTAAGTTCTCTGTCATTTTTTAATCAGTAACTCAAGTAAAATCTTATCCTTCTCAAAGATCTCTTACAGTTTGATAGCTGAGAGGTTTTGCCAGGTTACCTCACCAAATAAATTTCAAATCAAATTTCTCTCTTATGCTGCCTTCCATAGTCTTAAAAAATACTTTTCATTGTACAAAAATATGGCACAGTCATTATGTGTCTAAAACTTCTATTTTCACAAACCCAAGGAGTTCTTATGAGTTCCAGGGAGCCG